CGCTCAAGTTCATCAGCGAACTGCAGTGTATGTGCCTCGACCCAGCACACCCATACACGAGTTCATTACGATCAACTGATAGCTGCAGCGTGCCGAAAAACAATGTAAAAGCTGGGCAAAATACACCCAATTAGGACTTAACTGAAAATAAAATCACGGCACAAATCTCTTTTTCTGTTCTTCCTCTTATCCGCTGCCCCTTCCCGTTGCCGCACCAGATGCTGAATGTGCGCTCCTACTGCTTTGTGCAACCCCCCCTGAGAACTTGTGATGCAACTTCACTGAAATCAGCATACGCTGAATGATTTTATCCGGGAAGTGTAGGAATGCAAGACGAAAATAACTGCAAGACAGCCGGGAAAGATCAGGAGGTGTCATTCTCGTATTCTTGGCACCTCCATAAGGAAAAGTATCAAACAATGAGGTGATCGTCGATACCCATATGACTTGTTCCTCGTATAGCTTGCACTCCGCTGCGGAAATAGAACCACCTATTCTTCGCACCTCCGTAGGGGAAACGGAATAAATGAATAATGAGGTGGTCGTCGGCATCCATCCCACTTGTGGCTCGGGCTGCCTCCTCTGCTGCAGAAGTAAAACCACAACATCGAAGACGGCAGCAACAACAACAGCACCGAGGCGGGGGTGGATGGGAGAAGTAGAGCCAGATTGAAGCGCCTCTCAATGGACCGTTTCCTTCTGAGGATAAACTGCAGCCAAACTGATGTTAACTGGCCATCAGCTTACGAGCTGAGTACTGTGGTAGTGCCCTCACGCGACGGGCTGTGGAGGTAGAGGTGGGCTTTTACGTACAGCGACACCTGCATCAGCGCGCCTTCGGTGCTGGGAACTGTTATGAAGTCTAGTGCTTCCTTCGCGTCGTCATATCCGTCCGTGACCGCCACTGCTGTGCCTGCTACTTTGAACATTGGCAAGTCGTTGTGGGCGTTACCTACAGCTAAGACTTCTTCCGGCGAAATCCCCAAGACCGCAGACAGCAGCCGCAGTGCCTCCCCCTTGTCAATACCGGGCTGCAACACTTCAAATGCCGTCGGGCGACTCTGCGCAAAGCCAACTGAATCACCAAACTCCGCCTCCAGTCGGTGGCGAACGCTCGCCACCGCGCTAGACTCCCCTTCAACGTGCACGCGTGGATGGACGGCTAAAGATCTGGATTCCTCTTTGAAGAAAACCAGCGGCCCTTCCGTTACCCCTACAGCCTTGTCTAACAACCCCGCTTCCATGATAATATGGAGGATGTGCTTCAGAGTGTCGTGCGCTAGGGGACTATCCCGCAGGACCTCTCCAGCAGGACCTCTCCCGCAGGACCCAGGACATACGTATCATTCAGGTAAATTCCTGGGAAGCCCGAAAAATCCATCCTTTTCATATTATTTTCTCCCAGAAGCTCCTTGACGTTCGTGCGGTGGCGGCCAGTGGACAGCGCCACTGGATGCCTAGGGATTGAGCCAAGCGGAAAGCCTCCACGTTATCTGGTGGAAGAACGCCATCTTTGCCTATGAGAGTGCCATAGAGATCACTTAGGATCAAGTGTGCTGGTTTTGGGAGAAGAGGAGAAGACCTGGTTGGACCCTCTTGCAAGGGATGTACTGTGGAGTCCCCCGCATTTGCAAAGGACGCAACGGTGGCCAAAGATAGGCAAAGGAAAGTTAACAAGGCATTGTTTGGTCATAAAAGCTCATACACTCTATTATTTCTTAAATACTGTAAACCCTCTTGGGAGACATGCAGCACGAGCGCTCCATGAGAGACATTTGCACCCCAAGAGTGGCCCAGAGCGTGCCAGCAGAGCAGCACGTCTGCTGAGTGTAGCAAATTAACGAGCTTTTAAAATGTCTTCGAAATATCCCCTTCAGTTAAAGCGTCAAAGCTATACATCACCATGAGTGGAGTGTGTGTGGCACGCTTCAGGTGTGTCGACCACTGGAGCCTAAGCGGGAGGGCCCGCTCTCGACCGCATATCCATAGCATCTGTATTGAGCCTTTCCAGTATTACCATTCACACACGGGGCTCGGAGAACTTATTTCAAGCAAAAAAGGGGAAAATCTGTCCCTCTACTGTGATGCATGGCCAAAGGCTGTTGCAACACCTGAGTTGTAGCATGGCCTGCGTGGCCCTGAAGGTGGCACTGAAGGTGGCACACGACACCTAACTCAGCTCCAGATGGAAGACGGTACGCAAAGACAAATTTCCAACAATTCTCTTCAGTGTTTATGCATATAGCCAAGCAGGCTTTTTTTGTTTTTGCGCCTTCGGATGGTTTGCAGCTTGTGTAGCAAAGTCAGTTGGCTAGTCTGTCTGAAGTGGGCACACGAACATTTACTCGGGCCTAGGCAAATGGAACGCAATCACATCTCACACAGTGTCTGTACATAAACCCAAGAAGGCCTGCTTGTGTTCGTGTGGGGGTCTATCTTGCATCTTGGGGAGCAGCAAGATGCTTTCAAATCCTGGCTGGACGCCTCCTTTCCCGCAGCTCCAGGCGCTTGAAACACTGTGCCCAGGGCGTCTGGAAAGTGGAGAGAGAGGTCAGTTGCATTTAGCGAACCCTTATCTTGAGTGATTTGCTCATAGTCGCTTACAATTATCCTCGGATAAAATCCAGGCCCCCGCTCTACACTAGATAAAAAGGCACGGCAAAAAGCATAGTGCAAACAAACAAGCTATTTTCCAACTCGTAAATCCCTGACACACCAGGCAAAAGCTTGAAATCGTGATGGTGGAAGAGTTTTTCGATTGTTTTGTCGGATCACACAGTACGACTATGCGGTGTAGGTTGGGTATGACCAACACAGTCAGGGGCGCATCCTCCCGACGTTCTACATATCAGGCCTTTGTTCTACAAATGCAGCCACATGAGTAAGTAAGGAGTAGGGTGAACGCAATTTTGAAAGGAAACAGGATTCATTACACGTTGCCGCAGTTGTCCTTAAGCAGGGATGTACGAGGAAACACGTATAACAGATAGCAATAGGTACCCCCTCCACAGTGCATAAGGAGACGAGGAGAGGACGAAGTTCGTTGGATAATTTGACAGACCATCTGCTCTCCGTTATCGGGGGTCAATGGGTTCTGCTGCATCATCTACTCTTCCTCAACTCGGAGATGTCGTTCTGCCGTACATGTTGGTTCTCTTAAGCGATTCAACGAATCAGCGAAATGCCCCCGAGCTCTATCAGCAAAACGTCAGCAGCGACGTCTTGGTGGAAAGTCACAACAGAAGGAGGCTGAGATACTAAACACTCGTGTAACAATTCGTAGAGGCCAAAGAAAGCGAGAGTAATACGTTGTATGGGCAGGCAAACGCCAATTGAAAAGGACTCTGAGGACTGTTGCAGCAATTCAATTCCTCGTCAATGTCTAGAGCCAACCCTTGACTTTGCGGCAAGTACTGCCAGCACGGGTGTGAACCGCGCAGCCTAATGCTGGGACTTGTTTTAGTATTCGGTAGCCGTTCTTGTTTCACGATTGACCAGTTGCATATTCCGCATTCGCTGTGCTCCGAGCCGCCAAGTATCCGTTTTTCTGTGATCTAGTTTCCCGCCTCTGTGTACAACGACGTTGAAAATTTGATAGCTGGGGTTTGGAGTTGGGCGTTGCCGCCTCGAGCAGAAAAGGTTTATAAGGGGGATGCGAGGGGGCTCCAACTCCTACGGCACGCCCGGATATCGAGCCAACCGTCTTCAC